ATACCGAGGGAATGGAATCGCCCTTTCATGCCTCTTGATGCGATTCCTTATAATTATCAACCACCACTCCTCAGTTGATTGTTAGACGTTCGAAAACCGGTAGTAGTTTCTGCAGAGCGCCGCTCCCCAGGAAGGCCCCCCATGCAGTTGCACATTTTGCAAGATAGGAAAATCCATCTGCATGCATCCGTCGATACCATGTTAAAGCCGCCATAAAAACATCTTTCCTTGGTCATACTACACACACAAGTTTATGGTTCTTCTGTGCATTCGAGATCCAGATTCAAGTGCAAGAAACTGTAGTTGTCGAAAACCACTTTTGCAGTCAACCGAATCTCCCCCCTCCACCATGAAATAAAAATCGAACACCAGTTCGAAAAATAATAGGGAAGCCAATCTTATGCTATTCTTATAGTGCCGAAAACGTACTCTTTATTCGAACAATGTAGGAATTCATTGGAAATAATTATCATTATCTACTACTAAATAATCTGTGCCGTGAGAGAAAAAAGGCAATTGCTTCTGAGCAAACCCAATAACTGAAGCTTCTGCACTCCAAAGAAAATTTTCGTTGAGGTATTTTTTTCCTTTCAAGGTGTCCCTTGTTGCAGGTCTGGGCAGGGGAATCATCGAAAGTGTTTGTGTCCAACGAAGAGAACAAGTTCCTCGATGCCGTTAATCGAGAGGTCAAAAGATGTGGAAAAGCAGATGTCGAGGGAAAGATCGGAGAAGTAGAAAGCATCGTGAAAAAGGGTGGAGCCAACGATCACCCCCAACCTGAGTTTCCCATAGAATCTTCTGGAGAGGACAGCTCTTCGCCAGCCACTGAAGGGACTGAATTTGTAGAAACCACATCGGCTGCTGAGGAGAAGGTGAGTTTTCAGTACTTCGTCGATTTATGTGCTACTCGCAGCGCCTGAAAAAGGCCGGCAGTTCGAAGACGATGAGAGTAGTTCAGGAGGACAGCAGTTCTGCCGCTTCCACCATCGGCGTGCTGGAACCTGTAGAGCCTGAGACCACAACTGCTACAGTGATAGCTGAGTCAGCTGAAGAGTTTTCTGTGACGTCCGAGTTTTCACGAATCGACACTTCTGGCGCGTCTACGTCGACAACAGATTCAATCGTTGAGACAACCCCGGACCCTGAAGTGGATACGAATGGTGGGGGAGTTTTCGCCCAGTTTATGGTTCTACTCAGAGTGCGTATCTGTCGATTACCCATTTCCAGAAGAGGGCTCCGGAGCTGCTGACGTAGACGAGAGGCGAGCACATGGCATTCGTACTGCCAGCGATCTGCTGAAAATTGCCGAAAGAAAAGGACACGGCGAAGCTGCAGGTTGGCTTGCAGTGCTTTTTATACCGTTTTTTTTTCGTCAAAGTGACCAAACCACTGGTTCCTGTATTTTCAAGAGAACTTTCAAATTATGGTATTCTTCAGATATTGTTGTCTTTCTGCGATCTAATTTTTCCATTCAGCATCCTTTGATGCTTCGTCGCCGCCATGCTCGACAGACCTAATGTTCGTAGTGGACACCTCAACCAGTGTCGAGGCGGAGTTTCAGCAACAACTGCAACTCGCCGTTGATTTGGTGAAAAGCATATTCAGTTCTTCGCTCCTGAAAGAGAAATGGGTCAACACTCTCTTTAGGTGAAACGACTACCCGCCGACGACTTCGAGCACCGAATCCGTGTTGGAGTGGTTATATTCAACTCGAAGGCGACAGTTGCACTTCGCATGGGAGAGCCTCGCACGAGGTCAGTGTAAGCTTAGTATTTCTCTCTTGGGTCAACATTCCCTAAAGTAAATTATTTTAGATCGTCTCACTTCTCAGAGCATATTTGCCCTTTCCGTTTTCTGAACCCAAGGCCCTATAGCTTCGTAGCCTTCACCCCTATATCCTGGCAGTTGCCAGAAGAACGTAGTAGCTACTTCATTTGGACATGGTGTGGGATGAGTTTTTCGTAGGATTTCGGCGCTACTGAACTATTCCTACCCAGAACACTCAAAAAATTTTTTGCTGAAACGTTGCCTGTAGATGTAATTCGATGCGCTGATCACGAAAATAACATCCGTTTCGATGCCGCCTGGCGCCATTTGCGCCCATTAGGCGCTTGGCGCCCACCAATTTTTTCACCAAAAGTTTGATGAAAGATCTCCATATGCCGCGGGTTAATTGCAGGTCCTGATTACGAATATCACACTAGGTTCTCAAGCACTGGCCGCCAATGGCGTGCCATTATGGGCCAATAATGGACCGCCAAATGGCCGTGTAACTGGCCGCCCAAATGGCCTTAGCGCCAATAGATGAGTGCTTGGATTTCGTAATCAGGACCTCAATTAACCCCCATATGCAAGTTTTCATCAACTTTGGTGAAAAAAGTGGTGGGCGCCAAATTGGCGCATAATGGCGCCAAATGACGCCAGCGCTCGAAACGGATGTTATTCGTGATCAGCGCATCGAATTACATCTATAGGCACGCTTTCAGCCGAAAAAATTTTGAGGTTTCTGGCGTAGCGAATAGTTCATAGTGCCGCTATTTCTATTGAGGCATCTGTCATCAGTGTCTAGGTGCTGAAAAAACATAACTACAGTATGGTGGCAAAACTGCCAGTGTTCTCAACCAAAAAGAGCAGCCGTGAGACCACTTCAAATGAGGTACTCAAGCCACCCTTTCCCTACAACTGTCCGCCTATCGTCTTCACCTTAATCTACTGGGATATGAGAAAGAGTAACCTGGATAACGAAAATGCCTGCTGTCCGACTTCAGCTTTTCCTTTCAGCACTGTAACATCCTTTGTTGGGCCTTTTCAACACAAGTATAACTATCACAAGAATGCGTTAAGTTATGGGCCAAAAGTCTTACACCAAGCGCGGAGTCGAACTCCACGCTTTCGGCGGGTGCTCTATCCGTAACGGATTTTGCCCGTAACTCAGCATTCTTGTGTTCAGAACGCGAACTGCGGTCGTTAAACAGCGGTTATCATAACAATGCCAGCTGCTGTTATGAGTGTACAAGAAGGAGGAGAGCTCGGCGTCAGTGCCAGCGATCCGACTGGTACGTTCATAACCTACACGGGAATAGTGCAGCCTGTTAGGATAGCCGCTGAAGCAGCCTATGATTTCATGCATTCTGTCCTCCTAAAGCGTCTTGCTTTGGAATGCACTCCCGCATTCAGCAGTGGAACCCTTTAAATGGCCCTCACTAAGGTTGTTGATGGAAGATAATTGTGGTAAGAGTGATTAAGTCAATTGCTGCTGTTCATAACATCTCTGTAAACAAACCCCATGCATTTGGAATAGAGCTAGCTTAGCGGTCGTACATGATGTCTTTACTGATAAGCGGTGAGGAATGAGTTGGTGTCGGCAAACATTGAGGTCGTTAACTTAAGTCATATCGATCGCACTGTTGTTGTGAGCGGTGAAGCGGATTTTCCCATGTTACCTTGTCACTTTTAGCTCCTATCACTTCCGTACCCGCCAATAATATTCCCGTCCCGTATCACTATCATATCACCTATATCGCCTCTCGGATCTGAGGTCCCACTGTTGCTGTAACCTGCGTTACGAATTTGATGACCCTCCCTCAAAGCCGCTTACCGTATCTTATTCAAAACCGCTTAAACCACTTTCTGCCGCCCGCCTAATGATGCTCCCGCTCTCAAATTCCTGTAACACCTCTCGGATTCAAGGTCCCACTGTTGCTGTAACCTGCGTAACGAATTTGATGACCGTCCTCTTCCGAGGCCGCTTATCATATCTTATCAAGTGTTATCACTTTGTGTCGCCCGCCAATAATGTTCCCGTCCCACACCCTATATCACCTCACGGATCTGAGTTCCCACAGTTGCTGTAACCTGCGCTGTAACGAATTTGATGACCCTCCCTTCCGAAGCCGCTTATCGTATCTTATCAACTGTTATCACTTTCTGTCACCCGCCAATATGTTCCCGTCCCACACCCTATATCACCTCTCGGATCCAAGGACCCACTGTTCCTGTGAGCCGCACTATGAATTTGGTAGTCCTTCCCTTCTAATGCCCATTATCAGATCTTATCAGCTGATATCACATCCTGTCAGCCGCAAATAATGTTCCCATCCCAAACCTTATATCACTTATCAAAACCAAGGTCCCACTGTTGCTGTCACCCGCGTTATGAATATGGTGACCTCCCCCTTCTAACGCCTCTTATCGTATCTTATCAACTGATATCACTTCCTGTCACCCACCAATAGTGTTCCCGTCACACCGCCTACATCACTTCTTGAAATCAATGTCTCATCTCACGGGGACCGGCGCTATGAATTTCGTGACACACAGACAGACGCACACACAAAACATACACACACACACACACAGACAGACATACTTAGCGGATTATATAGAGTAGGAAGACCAGGAAGCTGACTTATACGCAAAAATAAAAGCTAAATAATTAGGCTTATGTTGGTGGACCTGTATTGAAAATCCCCATACACCAGCTCCTCCACTCGTACACAACGGGACAGATGGCCGACCCGCTATCAAGGCTCGCTTCATTGCCTCCTGAGCAAGCCTTTAAATAACGCAAAAGCTATAGTGGGATGCGACCCGGCCGTTAGCAGCCTGCCCTAGTGCGGCGCATTCCTTAAAATCCTTGAAAGTTGTGTCTCATCAGTCACATGTGCAATGCAAGATTTCGAAATCTGTCTTATTGAGATCTTCGTTTAGATCTGCTCTACTGGACTTGTTGCTGACTCTGCGCTATTCCGGTGGAAGCACATCAGTGGCTAGTGGGGTGAATACAGCTATCGACGAGATCGATCAGTATCGAAGAAGCAAATGTCGTTAAGTTAGAGGAGTTCTGAAACTCCTCACGCTGAAAAATAAGTTCAAGTGTAACACAAGAGGTAATCTCTCTACAGGACCTCTTAACATAAAATGCATCTCGAAACGTCCTTCTTTCACCGAGGTCGGTTGAGAACCTATTTCCCTGTTTCGAGAGCTATCTTTTTAGGCTGATGGTGGTGCTATTATCTGATGGTAACAGCCAAGATCATTGGGATAATGTCATCCGATCATCAAATCGACTTCGTACCACAGGAGCAGAAGTGTATGCGGTGACGATCAGCAAAAACTACATGTTCAGGTTAGTGTCCGACAGTAGCTAGCCTGTTACTTCGAATGTGAAACCTGGAAATTTGAACCACAGGGAGGGAGCGTGTCCTATGTCGACGGTGTGGCTCAAATTCTGTTTGGAGCATGCGTTACAATACCCGGCAGCAGGAAGCGAGAAACTCTGTAATCCCGCTTCACTCATACATAGGGATGCTGCTGTCTATCAGTACATAAATCCAGATTCTCCGTTTCCACTCTCTCCTCCTCTAGCAAAATTTTGCTCCTTTTTATTGCTTTCGTAAAATTTGGGCAGCAACCCAACAAACTATGTGGGAGTACTAAACGGATCGTAGTAATAACGCCGGCAGCACTTTCCAGCATTTTAGCGTCTCTTTTTGTGACCCTTGACTAGCTGCCACCGGGCGGTGATATCCTTGACCGCGATGTTATCATCTTGATCCAGCTTCTTCAGGAGGCGTGTTCTGTAATGAGCGAATAAGGCTCCTTGGAATCCGGCTACGGAAACCAGGCACTACATGCCTTCAAAGTCGGTAGCACCGAACCTTGCGTTAGAGCACCGCGACCGCACAAGTATTTCGTAGTGTTGAAGTCTTAATGGTCTTATTGGATCTTGAGGAATCCGAAGCGCCGGTAACAGTGCCTTTTGACAGACTCAAGTCGACAATTCGTGGTAGAAACGGCTCCATCCATGACTGGTGGGGAGGCGATTTCGGCGAAATGGAACCGCAGAAGAGCTGGTGACAATCTTCATCCAGTCGACTGACTACGAGGCGGGTCTTCAGCTCCGCGCCATCGTTGACGAATGCATAATTGGATTGCTTGTACCAGACATTGGACGTTTTTTTCCGTTCTCAGCATCGAAGTTGAGCTTGTCGATTGCTTGGCCCATGGAATGTGAATACAAACTTCTTCGTAGTGGCAGGACACGGACAGGACCTGTCATTCGCTACTCCATCTCACGAAGGAAGGAGCTGCAGTCCCCTACTGCTGCTGCACCAGCTCGATTGCTTTCTCTTGACATTCCGTGCTGTACCGCATTAGTGAGAAAAAATCGGCCAGCTCTTCATGAGTACTTGGTCCTGATCGTCACTTGTGCACAGATAGTGTTCACGATAATTTGGTTCTCTGCAGGAAATGGGAGTGGAGACACTCTGTAGCACAACAGTAAAGCAAAAACGGGACGAAACCGTTTGAAATACCCTCAAATAGGGCTCTTAATATCCGCTCCAATCAGGAACTGTACGAGATAACCATTGCGATGGTCAAATAATGTTGAAAAAATCACGGGCACTGTACAGGATTATGAGAACACATACTTCAAGGCAGCTGAGGCAAACTTCCACGAACGCATATGCAGAAAGGCCGGTCTTAACAGAAGCAGGGACATGCTAGAGGAATTTTCACGAGGCGGCTGCCGAAGCTTCGGGGGAATCATGTGGAAAAAGCCAAGCGAAAGAAACAAGTCTAAAAACTCTAGACGGGCATACGCCATGTAAGGGAACCTCGCATTGTGCACGGTAGAAGACTTGTTGTTCCCTTGGCCAGTATGAGAGCTAACCTCTGCAGTGAAAAAACTCTTAAGAAGGAGAAAAAATGCCATTCAGGCGCAGACTGTTAGTGAAAACAGCTGATCCGATGGTGATCAATTGCTGATCGGTGCGGTCATTTGTGGGCGTGTCGTTGTTGGAGGGAGTACGGATCGGTAGGATAAGCTCTAAGATGCTTAGAGACCGACTTTTCTCGGAAAAGACACCATGTAAGGCTTTCCCAAGGGCGCGAAATTGTTTGGTGACTGGCGTGTTCATCTTGCCTTTAATCCAGTAGGAAGAATGTTTATCGAAATAACGAACACAACATAAACAGAGGGCTTTTTACATCACTATGAGATTATGGTTTGGGCTTCGAAGTCAGATCAGTTTCCCCTCATGCGAGACAGGCCAACCGCTCTTATATCAATGGCCAGCACTTCATGCCCTATCCAACAATGAGTAAGCGTAGATTCGCTAGAAACCTTTATGCTGATTTCTAAACCTCCTGCTTCTCCTACGGGGCTGAGTACCCTTACACTCTGGCGCCAACTGCGGCTCTTTTTGCTTTATAAGTCTAACGACACCCATCAGTGCTAGTTCCCTAACATTTTCCTGATTTATTTGATCCCATTCGCGGTGACTTTTTTGGTTTTCAAGATGAAATTCATACCTTCAGAGAACTCGAGTTGTACGCCGGTGATAAGACAAGAGTCTACATCGATGCCAGGGTCAGGCAGTTCCTCGACGAGACCGAGAAAGGAGTGACTCACTGCGGTCGTTCTGTTAAGGTCAGCTCTTCATACATGTTCGTCAGTATTTGTTTTGAATGAAATTCTATACTATATCTTACAGCAAGCTTCCTCCGTCGTCCTCCAGGCTCCTAAGTAAGTACTCTTCCTCAAACAAGGTGTCCAGGATGATAGACCATTTTCCAAACACAGACCTTTATAGGTCATGCTCGGCGATTGTGGATCTGCTGATTGTGTTGGACACCTCAACACCTTCACAGAGTTTCTATCAAGAGAAGCAATTGGCCATTGATTTGCTCAAAGCTCTGCCTGCTAATGTGTTTGAGGTTTGAGTTAGATTCCCTGAGCAGGGTTATTTTCACAGATGTTTCGAGCTGTCAGTGCTTTTAACTTTCAGAGGCGACTCGCAGTATCCATAATAACATTTGCGAGCAATTCGACCGTATTGCTGCCGCTTGGCCTCCAGCCAAAGGAGGAAATCGTCTTCGAATTGGAGCGTGTCGCTCACTCAACCGGTCCAGCCAGTCTTACCGGAGCCTCGTCTCATACGATGCGCGTAACGTCCGAAGCGGCAAAAAGGATGTTACTGCCGTACACATATAACTATAAATATAACTCTACCAGCTTTTGCCTGTAATAATGTAAGTGTATATGCCGATGTACTTTGTGTGAGCCTACTCGGACGGTATGTCTGAGTTAGAGCTTGTGTGACAATACAGTCACCACTCTTTCATTTCTTGTATGCGAGATTTATGGTGGCTGTACATCCTCAGGATCGTAGTAATTTTTGTCTATTCAGGAGATAAAGTCGCACCGCCAGGAAAGGCCTCTCGTGCTCTCGTCATCATTCGTGTCAACGGAAATCGCGTGGTGAGCGGAAGAGAGATGGAAAAACGTTCTGGTAAATCTGAAGCCTGCATTTGAAATACTTCCAAAATCACCAGTCCCTAAACGAGATGAAGTGCTGTATTCAGCAAGTTTCAAGTATCGGGTCTTTTCATGTTTGCCCAGCAAAAGGCCAGATAATTAGTTTTACCCGTACATTGTTGACTACAGACGAGAGGGACTCTTCTCTGTCTTCTCAAGACAAAAGACGATGTTTGCATGTAAGAAAAATAAACTTGGTTTTTTCTTATGCAAACTATTCGTCTTTTTTTTCTTACATGCAAAACTATCGTTTTTTGTCTGAGAAGACCAGAGAAGATACGCAAAAAACCAAGTAGTGATTTACATGAGATAATTGACTGGAAGACCACTGGTAAACTTGCATAGGGAAGAACTTTCTCGTCTTTTCAACCCTAGAAGATATTATTAGGTTGTCCGGAAAGTTCTGCACGTTTTGTGTTACTATTTTTTGAACATTCATTGCTGATTAAAAACTCACTCTCCCTTGCGTCTCAGTAAAGAAATCCTTGCCTATGCCCCTTTCACATTGCCTCTCATAAAACCCCTTTCCCAAGACTTTTTGAAGCATGTCAAAACGCAGCAACTTCGGACGTTATTTTTCAACTATTGTACAAATTTGGGTCACCGCAGTCGAGCACGCTCAAACAAATTAACCAGGTGTGGAGTGCTAGAGAAAGCACTGTGCGGCAATGGCTCAACAAATTTCGTTCTGGAGATTTCAGCCTTGAAGATGAACCTCATAGCGGTCCGGACCGATCTGGACGAGATTTAGCTGGGTTTCGGAGGCTGACCCATCCAACAGTTCGGAGAGATTTGCAAAAAAGCTAGCGTCGGAATTCCAGCGTTGCGCGCTGGTCTGGAAAACGCATTGAGAAGGTGAAAAAAACTCGATAAGTGGGTGCCCCACAATTTGAGTGACTGGCAGAAATTGGCACGTCTCGCGTTTCTTCACTGCTTTTGCGCAACAGAAACGACCCGTTTTTGAACCGAATTGTCACCTGTGATGAAAAATGGATCATGTATGATAACAGGAGACGTTCCGGACAGTGGTTGGATTCCGACGAACCACCGAGGTAATTTTCAAAGCCGAATCCTCACGAAAAAAGGTTCTGGTCACGGCTTTGGTCGTCATCGGCCTGGCGTCGTGCATCACTATAACTTTTTATCACCAGGCTAAACCATCACAGCAGAACCCTACTGTGAAGGAATCGACGAAATGTACCGAAAATTTTGTCAGCTGCAGCCAACACTTATCAAAAGAAAGGGTCCGATTCTTTTGCATGACAACGCCCGCCCACACGTTTCACAAATCACTATCCATAAATTGAACGAATTGGGGGTTGAAGTTCTACCTCAACCCGCCATATTCTTCAGACCTTTCGCCAACCGACTATCACCTTTTCTAACATTTTCAGAACTCCCTTGCCTGGAAAATACTTCATCAATCAGGACCAGGCAAAAAAGCCTTCGTGGATTTCGTGAACTCTCGACCACCCAGTTTTTTTTCTTTGATGGGATTTCTCGACTGCTGTCACATTGGCAAAAGTGCTGCTGATTCGAATTACTTATTTGGATTTAAATCCATGAGCTGTTAAGAATATTATGATCATTAAGTAAAACACTGTCGAAACCTGCAGAACTTCGGACAAACCTGAAGAATTTAAAACAATTTTGGCAGCGAAATTTCCTCGTTCATTCCATTTAAGATATGCTTGGAAATTCCATCGCATAAGTCTTCCGCTGTTTTTTTTTTGCCAGAGTTTAGCCGTGTCGCCGCACAGATCTTGTTCGCAGAGTATTTCCTTCAAAAATGATAATCCAGTAATTTCAAAACCATGCTTGTATCCGTTAAGGTGGAGCATTTTCAGAAATCGTCTGCTTCTCTTCGCTCTACTGGAGCTGAAGTGTATGCCGTTGCTTTGACGGAAACGGCAAACTTCGAGAAACTAAAGGCTTATGCTGGTAATGAAAGTAATCTCTACCTGGCTGAAAAATCTGACAAATTCATCCAGGTGAGCTACTTACTATTTGTTTTTTTCGAACTATCCTAATGTCTCAGCTTAAAGCGCGCCCATTCCATCCCTCACCCGGCGGAGTCAGTTGGACATACGGGCCGTTTCCACTGATGGGCTAATTTTTTGCGATGACAAAGGGGAAGAGCGTATCAATGGGGCTTGGTTCAAGTGACTTAGCCCACACCATTAGGGCCAGATGTATCATAAGGTAACCCTGCTCGTTTTAGGAAATCGGCAACTCCATTCTTTCTTGTGGACCAGCCGCTGGTGGTGTCAACAAGTAAGCGTTTCTGTTTTCTTGTTACAAGTACTTCATGCGCTGTAAAGGACGTTGGAATGTGGCCGCTACACTTCGGCTTACTTTGGAATCGCTGGCTATTCTTGAATAGTCTCTTTCTTCTTGTCCACCACGGATCATACATATCAAGCGGAAGAAAGAGGTGTGCCGCCGACTGCGTCTTCCCATACTCGCTTTCTTCTCTTGTACTGCCTGTTGTCTGTTTTTCCCTTCTTTTGGCCTTGACGCTCCTTTCTTGAGTCATCCCTCTTGTTGCATTAAAGGCAGTTGGCACGATGGTTTCCTACTTAGCCTAAAATGCTAGTAGGGCGCTGTATAGTGGGGAAATGGCGAAAGAACGGAGTGAAACGGTCAAAATCCTGCGAAAAAAAGCCTCCGTCTCATTCTCAGTGACTTTCGGACGAGTTTCCCGTAGGTATCATACCAATCACCGCTACCGAAGATACGGCTGCATATGTGTACCCATGTATGCATGCAGCATCACGGCCGCTTCATACCAATCCCTTCGCTTCATAATTTGCTTAGCAAATGAATGAATACGAGCGTCAGAAACGGCGTTTTGTGGGCGGGCGTGGCGGGCGTTTGGGACGTAAAGTTGTGGCTTGATAGGGCCCTTATAAGGGCACCTTCCTCGGGGAAACCGCTATGCAGCGCCTGCCCAGGGTCGCGGAATTCTATCCTGCCAGGAGTATTGATCCTAGTCGTCTTGGGGGATTTATCGTGCCAACTGCTACCACTATTAGTATAGCAAAAGTATGAGATAAACAGAAACCTCATGTGTAAATTCCTGGAAACCGTCACCATCACTGTAAGAAGACCATGAAGTGCTCTAGCCATCTGCAGAAGATGGGTGAACAATACTCCTGCAGAACTTCGCCAAAAACTGCTATACCTATTCTTCACCAGCTCTTGCCCGCACATGGCAGAGATGGACAAAAAATCCAGGAGCTTTATCGGGTAGCCCTGCTCTCTAGGCTGTGCTCTGCGAACTTAGTCCCTTGCGACTAGGTTCTGCTCTAATGGTAAACCATACACTGATATGTGCGGAAACAGCAGCACGCTTATCATGACCATCTTGAATCGGTAACCGGTTTCTTCGATCCCTGGACCCCGAGTATTGGGAGAAGTTGAATCGGCAAGTCGCCCAGGAAATGGTCAACGTTCACCGATAGTAATCGAGGTTGAAGAATCACGACAGCAATATTCATCATGCCAAGATCACAAGAAAGTCGAACATGGACAATTCCATGACTGGGATTATTTCACTTAGCCAAATTGTATTTCGTCTACGAAAGTTCGTTTTCAAAAAGTGTCCCACTAGTGATACAAGTTTTCTTCCAACGTAATAGGCCGGAAGAAATCTGAGAAAAAAAAGTGCAAAACGACCCCAAAATTGGTGGATCCTTTTATGAAGAAGCGGTAACTACAAAGGTTACAATAGCGTGATATTAACAGTTTCGCACATCAGTCTGACAAACTGCAACATTACTTACAAGATCATTCCATATCGTTGAAAGCACGCTGACATTTTTTCCAAAAGAAGCACCCATTTGTACAAATTGGTCACACGAAACACCTCTAATGAGAGATTTTAGCATCGAGAGTGATATAGCGATTCCTCAAGCGGACACCCTCGTCAAATTCAGGCCCGACGCCCGGAAGCGCAGGTTAATTTCCTTTTGGTATTCTCACAGAGCTTATTTTTAAATAGGCCTTCACTTTGTTCCAAAATAATCAATTGATTTAAGATGTGCTTACGACCAAATGGATCTGCAAATTATTTTAGATGCGTCGTCTTCACGACGTGAGGTGAGTGGTTTTTACTGCGACATTTTCACGCGGAGATACTAATACCTTGCGAACATTTTTTCACGCGAGAGCTACTACGTACTGAATTTTATGATTGGCAAAATAAAAAGCCAATTTTTGAGAAAAAAAAGCAATAAGCTCAGAGAATGTTTGGCGCACTCGTGGTGTAATATAGTGCCAGCGAATTCATCCAGCTACCTACGCCCGAACTGGCTGATTCATAAGCGTCTGCTGCTCTCATTCTCGGAAGAGTTGTGGCCTGAAACATATCACTCTTTTCGGCCCGTTAGGGCCTTTCCAAAAATTGGCAGGGAGGCGAGGCCCTTCTTGGCATACCAGTCGGAGCTGGCAGCTCTTTTTTGTGGACGCCCGCCTCAGGCCGCTTCCTTGATGGGGGCCCGGGCGAGCGCCCTCTTTGTGTGGGCTGGCCGACGCACTTTTTCGTGGTTGTGCGGGCACAATAGCGCTCATCTGAGCGATGCACCCGACACACCTCGCCAGTCCCTGGAAGCGTCAGGGGCATGCACTTTTGTCGGCAACAATCAGCCACCTGACAATCGCGCCGTACGCCTCGCTGGCTTGGCACGTCGGCTCGGCATGTGGATTCGTATCGTTGATCAAATGACGCAAAAACCGATCAGAAGTAGATCCGATGCGTTCATTTTTGACTGGGCTGCCCAAGTGCTCATAATATAATTAACAAAATATTACAAATAGACATAACTGACCTGACGTAAAGGCCGAACAATTTGAGCCCGTTGTCTGATGGAACCTACAATCTCTCTGCGCGAGTCATCTACTCCTTCCAATACGATCGGAATATTGTTATCCACGCATGCGACAACTATCACCTTACAAGGCGTCCACTAAGTTTTTTCTCCTGCAAACTGCACTGAAGTTTAATTTGACATTTTGAACCTTTCAAGATCAAGGTTTTCTGTTGGTAGGCAAATATCAGATCAATCGCAAGCACAACTTCTTTTTGTCTTCTTTCTAGTTCTAAGGTATCTTTGCGACCTTTTAGCCACCATTCGTTGCCACCACTTCTACATACACGAAGGAAGGCATCATATACAGGGGGGGGGGCCAAAAAAAGTCACTTCGACCGAGTCACATATCAGCAAAGTTTTCGCTGCCCAGACAGAGGACGTGGATACGAGTACCAGGGCGGAAGATACCCAAGATGTTCCTCTATAAGCAGGAGCTGGCTCTCGCCCATCACCTTCATGTACACCAAAATATGAAGTCATCTCCAGTCGCAGCCCTAGTGGAGAAGACCTTTGGAATTCATGTCACCTCCAAACAGCTGCGAAACTTCTAGTATGGAGTCACCCATGGATAGCTACCTGGAGACCAGTACTCTCGATCTGGATGACCTCCAACATCGAGCAGCTCCGACAACGTCGCCACGGTCTAGGACATCATCTTCACCACAGTCGCCAAGGCGCGGGTTGATGTAGGGACTGGCGACACGTACCTCTTGGAATGGAAAGACCAATATTTTCTTCGTGGGCCCGGACTGAAGGTGAGCGCTGGCGGTTACATCGAGCAACTCGTGAAGAATATCCTCCTCACATGTCGTCGCCCGTACCTTCTTGGAAACTTTGTACTGCTACAGCATTGGGTGCCAACCACCACATGGGAATCCGAAGGGCCATTGGAGAAGCTTCTCGCCTACTTGGAATGGAAGGGGGCTGAATACCAAAAAAGGTCGGAATATCCAAGTAGGTCACCTGACCTGAATCCCCTCAATTACCCGGTTCGGGCGGAGTTCAAGGTGGGTGGTCTACGGTGGCGGAGAAATCGACTATCTCGCTGATCTCAGGCACCACATCGCGGTCGCGTGCCAGAATCTCTCGATGGCGCTCGTCCAGAAGGCTGTGGCGGAGTGTCATGATGTTAATATGCTCTTTAATATGGCATGGCCTGAAAAATGTCCGATCAGAATTCAATAAGTGTGACGTTATGCGCCCTCGAAAGTCACATGAAGCAAAGTGACCTTTTATTGCTCCCCTCCCTGCTATAGCGTGGTACAGCCGTTGTACCTGAGAGAATCTCCTCTGAGGTTGTTCCCATTTGGTGAGGAGAGGTCGTTGACCTTGAAAAGATCGTGTCTAACCATTTGAGAGTGCTTAGTTACTAGATCCCTTAATAAAATGGAGTAATAATAGTAGATCAGCTGGACCCTGGGCTCAGGAAATCTCCTGTCGTTGGAGAAGATTTTCTACGAAATGCGACTCCTCTCAATGCCATTCTGCTCTGGTCGGTCCCTCTCATCCTACCCACAACTTCCCAGCATTCTCCTTTTTTCCTAACCTTATTCCGACTCTTTTCTCAGAACTTGCTAGCCTTCTCCCAGAAAAGCTCCCGTTAAGGCGGAAGAGACGATGCCATAGTGCCGCAAAAGGAAAATTGAAAGTATTCAGCTGCAGCTTCTTCAGAAAAAAAAACGCGACGGTTATGGAAAAGCCTTCGAACAGCTGCTGAAGAGAGGTTTTCAGGTGTTCGAGCATCAGCGGGAATTGGCTTTATCTCTCATTGAACGTCTACCGATTACTGCCGATGGTATGAATGTTGCCGTAGGAGTAATCAGCTTTACCGCTGTACCAACAGTCCGACTTCCTCTCGGATTGGGAAGAACGAAAAGCGGTATTCCATAATAGTTTGGTTGTTTGTTCTGGGTTTTATTTTACCGTTTTCAGTAGTAGCTCTATGGCGGCGTACCTTCACTTCAAAAGCCGCTAATTCTTCCGAGCTCACTTTTCCGTATTTTTTTTACTTCTGTTTCCGGAAGTTGTCATGAAGAGAGCGAGCAAATCGTCGGAAACTCGTGCCCCAAAGTAGATGAATCGCGAATTGAGAGCCACCTTGATTTGCTGAGAAAATTTACATATATCTACCTCCTCGATAAAATGTTCATGTTGCCGCTCTTATTTCCTTGCTCGTATGCCGCTGATGTGCATTGGAGCTAATCAGTATTTTGACGTGTCTTTTTGCTCTTTTTTATGTCAATAATGTCATCCTGAGTCAGCAACAACCAACAAGAAATACTACTCTGGCCTGCTGCTAATGACTCACCGTTCGCCCAGTCAGGAATTTATGACTATGTATTCGACGCAAGTAACTGCACTCCCATAAATCATGTTATGGATTTGTTGAGCAATATCGATGGTGAAGCGAGGATGCAGTATATACTAGTTTTGCATCTCAAAAAGGCGAGAGGATAGCGCCGTTCGCTAGTGAAGAGTCGGCCGCCCCGCCCACCTGGCCAGCATAGGGTTCTATATAGGGCATTTCCATGATTTTTTTTCTTTTTTTCTTCACTACTGGATCACGTATTATATGAGCTCCATAACTCATTATTCTTGAAAGCGGGCTCAGCCTCAAAGGCTAAGCCAAAGCAGTTATGGCAGCCACGTGGGCCGGGCGGCATTCTCTTCACAAGCGGGTGGCCGCCATCCCCTCTCGTGTTTTCTGCCAGCTGCGAAATTAGTACATCCTCCACTTTGATTGACAAACCTACGATATCCAAGTGATCGATCGTTAGGGAAAAGGCAACATTATTAATGAACACGGGCGCTGCCTCCTTAACCGTTAAGGGTACGGGATAGTTTCTTACATTGAAGAGAAAGCGTTGATTTTCAGTTCCTGCTTGCCAGCTACCAATTGCCGCCACACTTTAAAGGCCGGAGAGTAGCGTATGAGATCATCAAGCATGTGGGCAGTCGTTTGCGTGTCGAAAGCAAATGCTGCGGTTCATGTCCCACCCTAGGTTGATGTTGCGTTGAGCGTTTTTTTTTTTCTTCCGCCTGCCCTCTGAACCCTCCCATTATTAGGTTTGATCATTGATGACATGATTTGATAGTTTTGAGTGTCAAAAGTATGAAACTTTAGGAAATTCGTTCTGCACTGGAATCGATTGAATATCGCGGTGGTTCCACGTTGACAGCTCAAGCGGTGGATCTCAGCATCGACGATCTTCTCCGCGGCCGACGACCAGAGGCCATACAGGTTCGAGCCGTTTTTACTTGGAATTGTTCCCGCATTTCTACCTTGTTCTTCATCTTTTTTTCTTTCTGGAGCCTATAGCGTAGTTGTTGAAAAGTAAGTATACGTTCAATTCATGGGACACGCTGATTTTAGTCTTCTCCAATCTCCTATCCCCATCCTTCTTGTTAATAAAACCACTCTACCAAAAATGTATCAAATTAGTAGTGCTCGGACGTGCTGCTGTCGGCCAGCGAACCGACTCGGGTTCAACGAAAGCGGAGCATTTCAATTTTCCGTCCTCATGGCTATGGGATATTTGATAACACATTCCAGGCTCGACGTAGGTATGTGCGGACGTAGGCTAGGATTGTGCCTCCTTCACTGGCACACCCTACTTTGCAGTCTCATGATCGCCGGGAATGCTGGGGTGTGTCAGGGGCTGGATGTGGTGCCCGACGGCGAATCCATTTCCACAATCAATTTTTTGTCATTATTCCCTTCTACGACTGGTGGGGACGGTGTTCGCCGCCTCAGACCTAAGACTCCCACCCAGCATTCGTGGCGAACAAGCCTTTATAATCTTACTGCTAGATAGAAAGGGGGCAGCCACGAGAAAGTCAGCACACTAGGACTGAGTCTGTCATGCGACGCACCCACGAGTATTCTCATCCCTGGAGGATTTTCTTTTCTCTCCCGGGCTGCACTCTTTTTTAGCAGTAATTCATCTAGCTTCAAGTCAGACCATCTAAATGCTGGCTACAGTTCGCTGATAACATCATTGACCTTTGTTGGTTGCCCATTACTGCAGGCTTGATTCGTCCGTGATCCGACCACATGATAGTAAAAATGTGAAAAGTAGATTCTACTAAATGCCTTCATTTGACCAGGTGGTCGTCCTTGATGAACGATGGCTTCTCTCAAGACACATGGGAACGTGTGCTGTCGGCCAGCGAACGGCTCGCTTCCACGAAAGCGGAGCGATTCTGGAGTCGCACTTGGGCAAGCGATGCGTTAGCTTATTTTTCATTTCCCAGTTTCGCTTGCTTGACGGACAGGCTAAAGGGCGGAGAGCCCCGCGTACTTAGACCCTCCAACAGAATTGCCCTTTTCCTTGTCTGAACGGTAGTATGGCCCACGATGGCTGCGCGGACGGGCGATTATAGTCTGCATATCCTGGAAACAACGTTGGCAAAAGAAGAGCCAACTTCTCTCAATCCTTTGATTCAAAAGGTAGACGTATTGAGAAATTTTAAGGAGAAAAATTCAATGTAGCAGAGCCCATTTAAATCTTCCATGATTATGGGGCTATTTCAAGAACGATTGAACGAGACCATCCAGGGCGTTTTCATCAATCTAGGTTTTCTTCCTGAATCGGTCACTAACCGGTCACTATTGGTAGAGAAAGGCTGCCGAGGGTGTCCTCAGTTCGCCCCTCCTAATACCGCGCAGTCTCATTGTGACGTTATCAACTTGCCATACAACTGTGGATTCTGAAGCTCCTCATGTACAAATTGGGGTATTTCCATCAAAAACACATTGTACTGTTGGAACTCTCACACGGTGTTTTATCACCTACACTCTCCTCCCCAAAAAAGGAAGGAATTCATGGAAACGGTGCATACATGTCATGTGGATGCACTGCTTATCCCTAGAACGGAGTAGGCGTGGCATTCGAACATGGCATAAGATGGCTTATTCGTGGGATATTTCAACTTGAGACAACTGTCTTCTTGTTATGTCTTGGACAGAGACATGATTACAACTGTTCCGAAATCAAAATATTTCACGGGAAGCTGCCACATACCATTCAAGTGCGCAGCCACGCTTACCTCTCAGGGATTTTGAGTATAGAGAGCTGCTGGACCTTATCATGATACGTTCCTTACTGGCGCATATCTTTCCTTCTCCGTGTTGTAACGAGGATACAGACACCCAACCATTGCGTATTCGTTGATGGTGCACCCATCCCTTTCAGAAGATGAGGCGCACCAATGAGAACGACCCAGTTATTGCGTGTAAGGCTGCGTTTATACTTTGCGGCAGCGTAGCGTAGCGCTTCCAGCGTACGCCAGCGGCAGTGCCGGGGAGAGGATGCATATCGATCTAGCGTTCCCAGCGTCACCAGCGTCACGCTAGCGTACGCTAGCGTTTCTCCAGCGTTTCACCAGCGTTTTGCTAGCGTTTGCAGCGGCAGGGAGTAGAGACTATGTGGCCGTAAGAGACGCGGAATCGACGTGTATTGTAGAGACTATGTGGCCGTCAGAGACGCAGAATCGACGTGTATTGTAGAGACTGAGGGTGAGTGAGAGACGCGCAATCGATGTGTTTTGTACCCTCCAGCTCCCATAGTCTCTACTCCCTGCCGCTGCAAACGCTAGCAAAACGCTGGTGAAACGCTGGAGAAACGCTGGCGTAACGCTAGCGTACGCTAGCGTGACGCTGGTGACGCTGGGAACGCTAGATCGATATGCATCCTCTCCCACCGCCCGCTGGCGTTACGCTGGAAGCGCTTGAACGCTACGCTGCGCTACGCTACGCTGCGCTGCCGCAAAGTATAAACGCAGCCTCTCTGACGATCCTGGCTGGTTCGGGAATAGACTAGTCGGCGAGATTTTTCCTCAGATCCCTGACACAACTTCGATCTGAACTAAAGCTTAGTCCTTCAATTTTCAGGTCGACTTGCGAGAACTGCAACGCTACATCGCCCGCGATGATCGAATTTATAGGGATGGATCAACCGAGAAGTTAGTTATAGCATTGAGGATGTAGATCTGAAGCATATTAATAGCTTGTCCCCATCAGAAACGTTCTAACTACTGATTCTGGCCTCTATTTGCTAGAAAGAAAAACAGGGCAACGTCTCTAGGCTAAAAAGAGCACTGAAGCTTTCTGATATTTCCAAATAATACTGCCCACAGTGTGGAAATTTTCTTCGTTGAAACTTCCGCGTAGTTGCTTGGCGCCATCATTACGAGCATGACATTCGTTTTCAGCATCAGTGTTAACGTAGTAAGGCGCTATGGTTGTCTGGCCCTGATATGGTTGACTCTCGAGGAAGGGGACCACTGCTTCCCTCAGGTTCAGTACTGTGCTTACGGCCTTTGCTCCTCAAAATGATTGACATAATCGCAATCAAGTTCACAGCTATCGCACCAATTGCATGCAAGATTTAGGAACTTTTTCACCTCTCTATAGTCTT